ATAGAGAAATCCGACTGCTAGAGAGATTTAGGAGTAATGATAAGTAGGAACCTTTAAGCCAAGTAAACAATGTGTTTTTGCTCGTAACAAGGCTAATAAAGTACTTGGGTTCATACAAAGGAGTGTTATTACAAGACTTGCAGGTCATCCTAAAAACTGTATCTTGCTCTTGTGAGACCACACCTGGATTACGAAAGTTCAGTTCTGGTCACCGTATTACAGAATGGATATAGAATCCTTGAAAGAATTCAGAGGAGAATGACAAGACTAATCCCGGGCATTAGGAACCTTGACATAGACAGGTTAAAAGCATCTTAATTTGCACCCCTGAGAGACGCATGTTTAGGGCTTACCTGATAGTAGTGTATAAGGGAAGGCAGGGCTAAACAAAGGGGACATTACAAAGGAACTCAAATTATCCAACCAGGAGCGAACTCAGAATAAATGGTTTTAAATTAGACAAATTTAGATTTAGGCGTGCAAAATAGGTAAACACTGGTTTGAAAACAGAGTAGTGGATGAATGGAACAAGTTACCAACATCATCATTAACTCGAATACGCTGAATTGCTTCAAACATAGTTTGATGCTCATATAATGGGGTTGGGTGTAAACGGGACTGCCCAGTATGGGCCAATAGGCCAGCTGCAGTTTCCTCCATTCTTATATTCTTATGTTCTTAACACACACAAAGCGATCTCAGTTCCTGCTCTCATAAGACCATCCATCGTGAGGAACCCCTGGCTGACACGAGTGGAGAAAACGTTTTATGTCATGGCATACCTTTTATTTCTTATACCTCTTTTTTTTTAAGGGTGGTGGAGGGGGTGTGAAGGAATTAGATTAGATAGTAGGGTGGAATGGGTGGATTATAGGGTAGAGGTAGATTAAGAGGGTAGAAATGGATTAGTGAGGGTAAGAGAAGGAATTGAGATGGTAGGGGTGGAGGAGGAGCAATGACTGTAGAATACCTTAACCTCTAAGCATTTAGGTGTGTCCGCCCCCCAACCCCCCGCACCTAAACCACCCTTATACCTCCCCTCACCTGATTCAGACATCCATAACTACATACAATCAACTGTTTCATCTTGGGCAGTCTCTCCATCTTGTCCGTTTTTCTGATATCATGAATAAAACTTTCTCTCAAAATATGTCCTCACAATCCTCAGTTATGTTTTTGACCGTTAGCTGTCACGCACCCTACACACACTGTTAGTGGCGGGTGTTAAACCTCCGGTCACGCACCCCACACTGTTAGCGACGGTGTTAGACCCTCGGTCACGCACCCCACACACTGCTAGCGACGGGTGTTAGACCTCGGTCACGCACCCCACACACTGCTAGCGACGGTGTTAGACCCTCGGTCACGCACCCCACACACTGCTAGCGACGGGTGTTAGACCTCGCAAGCACCCCCACTCCCACACACACACACACTGTTAGTGGCGGGCGTTAGACCGCCGGTCATGCACCACACACACTGTTAGTGGCGGTGTTCTACCGCCGGTCACGCGCACCCCACACACACTGTTAGTGGCGGGTGTTAGACTCGGTTACGCCTCAAGTGCTCTCTCTCTCTCTCTCTGCCAACACCTGTGCACCTTTCAATTACCTACCCACACCTGCCCACTCACTAACAATCTGCTATTACCGCACACCTTCCAATAACCTGCCAACACCTGTACACCTTCCAATAACCTGCCAACACCTGTACACCTTCCAATAACCTGCCAACACCTGTACACTCACTAACAACCTGCTATCACCTAGACACCCTCCAATAACCTGCCAACACCTAAACACCTTCCAATAACCTGACAACACCTGTACACTCACTTACAACCTGCCAACACCTGTACAGACACAGGTAAATATCTACTGAAATTGAAATATAAATATTTTATTGACAAGTATCACATCAAAAGGACAGGGCAGTGTACTACTCCATCCTTATCTTTGTCATCGTTTTGGGGGCGTACAGAAAGTTGTAAATATCATAACATTGGTGCAAGATTTTGCATAATGCAAGTTTATATTATCCATTACTTTATTTACAGTCATACAATTAAAATAAAGATTATTTTGACATAAATGCTCTATTAAAAGGACAGAATAATGCAATCTCTCACCTTCACCTTTTCCCTTTTTATATGAGACTTACAAAGTTTATATTATACCCTTGGAGCAAAATTTGTATACTTTGCAAGAATTAATTAAGTCTTTTTATTATGAATTATCCAACAAACTTGTTGTTCAAGAGTAGTTATCTCACTGTCTCTGAATGGTTGGATTTTTTCACATCCTAATACCTATTGTTGTATTATATGAGCATCCTCCATGTGTCTGGAATTAATTAGTGTTGCATAAGAATGGAGGAAACTGCAGCGGGCCTATTGGCCCGTACTGGGCAGTCCCATTTACACCCAACCCCTATTGCTCATATATCCATCCAACCTATGTTTGAAGCTATCCAGCGTGGATGATGAATTTGGTAACTTGTTCCACTCATCCACTACTCTATTTCCAAACCAATGTTTACCTATTTCGCGCCTAAATCTAAATTTGTCTAATTTAAAACCATTGTTACGAGTTCGCTTCTGGTTGGATAGTTTGAGTACCTTTGTAATGGCTCCTTTGTTCAGCCCTGACTTCCATTTATACACCTCGATCATATCGCCCCTCACTCTACGTCTCTCGAGGGAGTGCAAATTAACTAAGCGATTATTTCACCTATATTTTCACCCTTATCTTTACTGCTATTTGCACTTACGAATAAACTTTGCAATTCCAGTTCTAATAATTATTATTCACGTAATACGCATAAATGTCGTAAGTGAGTCTGTTGTAGGAAGTGAAACAGAAAAATATTCGGATCCTTTGAAGAATAAACCGACCCCCGAGGTTTTTTTTCACCTTGTGATTAAATACCCTAATGCTACCTGTGGGGTTAGATTACGTTAAATTAGATTAGCTTAGGTTACTTTAAGTTACTTTAAGCTAGATTAAATTAAAATAGGTTCGGGTAAATTAAGTTAGGTTAGGATGATTAATTTTAAGGTGAAATAAGATGTGGATAATCTTCATGTGATCCAATCATTGTATTTCAGCCTTTAAGCTGTCACAATACTTCCCACGCTGAGGGCCTTATTTAGGTTCATACATTACACACCTGAGAGAGACCGTACGTTACCTGACCACCACAATCCTCGCTCTTCCACATACCTGAGAGAGACCGTACGTTACCTGACCACCCCAGTCCTCGCACTCACGCACACCTCGGCGGGTAATATTTATTTAATTGATACAAGAACACATTCAACTAATTAACATAAACAAGGACGAGATTTAAAAGTGTAAAATGTCCTCTAAACTGCACTGAGACTGTACCTTAGCTACAGCTATTTTTTGTCACCATTTACGGAACCAAAGAAAAAATAACGATAATGTATGAATGTGAAGAAAAAATGATAATGTGTGAATATGAAGGGATGGTTGCTAGGGTGGGTGATAATGGTTTTGGAGTCAACGACCTTGGTCACGGCATGAATACGGCCGCCGTAGCCTACAGTTCCTCCCCAAGTTTGGGCGACACGCACAAAAATTCTCTACACCATTGAGATTGCAATTAATATTACTAGGTAGAGCCTTAACCTCCTGGGGCAGAAGGGCATTTTTCTTTCTCTCTGTCTTTCTTCCTTCCTCTCAGTTACCATATCGTGTATTTATGGTTACCTTAAAGAGTAGGGCACACGCTAAGGTTAAATAAACACGGGAGAAATCACAATAGGCGTTTAAGAGATGATTTCAAGACCATAAACAGCAGACGGAAGTAAGATGATAAAATGTGAAGGTTTAGGTGGTCAGGTCACGCGGGAGAACTCAAGCAGGACTCCCGGCCAGGCGGAGACGAGACAATGACCCCAGCCTCCTTTACTCCCTCCCTCCCTCCCCTCCTTCACTCCCTCCCTCCCTCAGTCACTCCCTCCCTCACACATATTTTTTTATGCTTGAGGTTCACTGCCCTTCCCAAAGCACCGATTAATGCAGAGGAGTCCACTTAGGTTATCGGGATGATGCATACGAAGAGAACGCCACTATTAGGTCAAGCACTCAACATATTTACTTGTCTTAACTACAGTGTAGTTTTGGGGTCAGTATGATATAGTAGACCTTATATTCTGTAGACAAGGGCCTGAAGGTGTGTATGTGTGTGTGTGTGTGTGTGTGTGTGTGTGTGTGTGTGTGTGTGTGTGTGTTAGTGTAGCCCTAACCATGCCATTCGTGTGGTGGCCGCTAGACTATGATGGTGTTCCAGCGAGCATGAATTATTAATGTTGGTGATAGAGTGGCAGACCTCAAGCACGCCCACACGCCCGCCCGCACGCCCACTCTCTTCCGCCCACTCTGATGCAGTCTATCGGCCGATTCATTTACATCTCACCTAGACTTGGTAAATTTTGACACCTTTGAACGTGTAAATCCCCGATATTTATAAACATGTACAGTTGTGAACAAAAATAACTCGGCAGGGAGGGAGTGTAAGTTGCGCCTGCCTCATATGTAAATAAACTTAAAGAAATCGAATTGCGGTGGGGAAGGAAACCCATAGACTTTTAATCGCCACCTCTATGTAACTCTGCCAAGTCTCCCCCAACCCCTACCCTCCCTCCCTCCCTCCTTGTCTGTCTGCCGAATTCTTTTTGTCCACAACTGTACTCCACCAGGATTTTTAATATGATAATTAAAGTATCTTTAACAGTTAAATTAAAATATTACTTAACATGTTGATATATGTTGTAATTCACCAATATTTATATTATGTAAATTAGGTTATTTTTAACATTGCAAATTACAGTTCCTGATAAACATGTCATTGAAGTATTCGGTCTCCCTTCCCCCCCTCTCTCTCTCTCTGCTTTTCTGTCTGCCATAGTGTCTCTATCTGTCAGTCTGTCTATCTGTCATGTGTTTCTCTCATCACCATCTGGTGTGTCTTTCTAGGGCTGATCTGCTCTGAGGGAGATGACTGGAGGGAGCACCGCAAGTTCGTCCTGGGGTTCATGAGGGACCACGGGATGCGGACAGCTGCCACTAGGGGGGTCATGGAGCCGAAGATCCACGCTGTCGCTGACCTCCTCATTCAGGTTGGTCCGAGGTCAGGTCAGGGTACAAAGATCAAAAGGGGGCGCCTAGTATATATATTAATACGAATGTTAGCAAATGTTTTCTATCTGGGTGTCCAACAAACGTTCACCTACTACCCAACAAACGTTCACTTACTACCCAACAAACGTTCACTTATTACCCAACAAACGTTCACTTACTACCCAACAAACGCTCATTACTACCCAACAAAAGTTCACTTACTACCCAACAAACGTTCACTTACTGCCCAACGAACGTTCACTTACTACCCAACAAACTTACTACACTACAAACGTTCACTTACTGCCCAACAAACACTCAATTACTACCGTACAAACGTTCACTTACTGCCCAACAAACATTCACTTACTACCCAATAAACGTTCATTACTACCCAAAAAACGTTATCTTACTGCCCAACAAACGTTCACTTACTATAAACAAACGTTCACTTACTACCCAAAAAACGTTCACTTACTGCCCACCAAACGTTCACTTACTACACTACAAACGTTCACTTACTGCCCAACAAACGTTTACTACACTACTTCTTCTATAGCAACATTCACTTACTACCCACCAAACGTTCATTACTACCCAAAAAACGTTCGCTTACTACCCAACAAACGTTCACTTACTATAACAAATGTTCACTTACTACCCAAAAAACGTTCACTTACCGCCCAACAAATGTTCACTTAGTACCCAACAAACGTTCACTTACTACCCAACAAACGTTCACTTACTACCCAACAAACGTTCATTACTACCCAACAAAAGTTCACTTACTACCCAACAAACGTTTACTTACTACCCAACAAACGTTCACTTACTACCCAACAAACGTTCACTTACTGCTCAACAAACATTCACTTACTACCCAACAAACGTTTACTTACTACCCAACAAACGTTCACTTACTGCCCAGAAAACGTACATTACTACCCAACAAACGTTCCTGTACTACCCAATAAACGTACATTACTACCAACCAGACCTGTACACAATAAACGTTTGTTTACTCTCCCCAAAAAATTTTGCACAACGACGTTCATTACTACCCAACAAGCGCTCATTTTACCGCTGGCATAATACCCATCAAACGTTCATAATACCATCAGGCGTTCACTTAATACCCCAACAAACGCTCATTTGCTACCCAACAAACGTACACTTAATACCCATCAAACGTTCACTTAATACCCATCAAACGTTCACTTAATACCCATCAAACGTTCACTTACTACCTAACAACAGTTCATTTAATACCCATCAAACGTTCACTTAATACCCATCAAACGTTCACTTACTACTCAACAACAGTTTACTTAATACCCAACAACAGTTCACGTAATACCCATCAAACGTTCACTCATTACCCATCAAACGTTCACTTACTACTCAAAAACAGTTTACTTAATACCCATCAAACGTTCGTGTACTACCCAACAAACGTTTACCAGTTGATCATTGCACAATTTCGCAGGAATTGAAAGAAACTCAAGGAGCAGCTGTGAACATCTCAGGTAAGCTGCTGCACCACGTAGGCAACACCATGAACCAGCTCATCTTTGGCCTCACCTACCTGGAGGAGGATCCCAAATGGAGGTGGTTGAGACATCTTCTGGAGGAGGGGACTAAGCTCGTAGGTGTTGCAGGACCCCTCAATTTCCTCCCATGGCTTAGGTGAGTTACCTTTGTGTGGCTTAGGAGAAATACTTTAGTGTGGTGCAAGGGAATAGCTTTAGCGTGGAACAGGATAAATACCTCTCTACCTCAGGTTAATACCCTCTCAATATTTCAGGTGAGCTACCTTAGTGTGGTTTAGGTGAGTTACCTTTGTATGGATTAGATTAGTTATCTTAGCATGGGCCAGGTGAGTTACCTTAGCATGGATCTAATTTATTATCTCTCAATTCCTGAGTTTAATTACCTCTCCGTATCTCAGGTGAGTTACCTTGGCGGGCCTCAGGTAACCTTGACAGTGAGACAGCAACATACCACGGGGTTAATGTGCTGACGAGAGAAGGTGGCTGAACGCTGTGGGTTACAATCCTCTGCCCTTAATCGATAAGTTAATAGATTTCTTACACAATACCAATCTCAGTTGACTGATCCACTGATGAGGCGCGTTATTATTATTAATAGGCCTATTAGTAGTAGTAGTAGTAGTAGTAGTAGTAGTAGTATTGTTATTATTATTATTATTGTTATTATTAGAGTCAATGAGCGACTTATCTGGGATGAAATGCGCAGGGCTTCCATACTCAACAAAGTATGTATAGTAGGCCACTTTAACCTTGGCCAAATAGATTGGACTGACCTTACGGGTAACTCAGAATCAGAGGATTTTCTCGAGACGATCCAGGACTGTTTCCTAAGTCAACATATAACCGAACCCACACGGGGTAATAATATACTCGATTTAGTTCTGTCGAACAGAGAAAACCTCATTAGCAATGTCGAGGTAGGGAACGAACTTGTAAACAGAGATCACAAAGAAATTCGATTCCAGTTAGATTTTCAGGGTAGAAGTAAGGAAAATTCCACTAAAGTACCAGATTTCAGAAGGGCAAACTTTGACAGTTTAAAGAGGCAGCTGAGAGAGGGGGTGTCGCACCTGGCCGTGAACCTGACAGATGACTCCGACCTGATAACGACATCTGAGACTGCAGAGTTCCACGTCAATTTAAATAATGAGTTACTTAATGCACAGAGGCAGAACACTCCATACAAAAAACTCAGATCAGACAACAATGACCCTAAATGGATAAATAATTATTTAAAGAACATCATTGGCCAAAGGAAGGCTATAGGTAGAAGGATAAAGCGTGGCGAAATTTACCTCCAGGATTAGTATAAGATATTGGCGAGTAGGGTTAAAACCGAGATTAGGAAAGCCAAGAGGAATAATGAGGTAAGGATAGCAAGGGAGGCGAAGACAAACCCCAAAGGATTCTACCAAATGTATCAAACTAAAACACGAGAAAAGATTGGACCAATACAGTCAGATACCGGCGAACTAACTGATAACGACAGAAAAATGAGCAATAATTTGAATAAATATTTTTCAACAGTTTTCACCACCGAAAATTTAAACATGATACCCGAGGCACCGACTCTATTCAGAGATAGAGAAGAAAACAAATTAAGCGAGATAGTAGTGACTAGTAACGATGTTAGTAAGCAAATAGACAAACTTAAGCCTAATAAATCACCTGGTCCCGATGAGATATTTGCCAGAGTATTAAAGGAATGTAAGGAAGAGCTTAGTATGCCCTTAGCTTAGTCGTTTAACATGTCTTTAAAAACAGGTGTAGTACCAGAATCCTGGAGGATAGCAAATGTAAAACCGATTTTCAAGAAGGGGGATAGATCACTATCCTCTAACTATCGCCCAATCAGTCTAACATCAATAGTAGGCATATTACTGGAAGCAATCATTTGAAACTCTATTCGAAATCACCTGGAGAAGCACCGATTGATCAATGATTCCCAGCATGGCTTCACAAGCGGACGTTCTTGTCTAACTAATCTATTGACATTCTTTTCATCAGTTTTCGAATTTTGTGGACGAGGGGCACAATTATGATGTGGTATATCTCGACTTTAGCAAAGCCTTCGACAGAGTCCCCCACGAAAGACTAATTAGAAAGGTAGAAGCTCATGGCATCAAAGGTAACATCCTTAAATGGATTAGGGCGTGGTTACAGGACAGGAAACAGCGAGTGAGCATAAACGGCACTAAATCCCATTGGAGCAATGTCACAAGTGGAGTTCCCCAAGGCTCAGTACTTGGACCATTATTATTTATTATATACATAAACGACATAGATATCGGCATAGACAGCAACATAAGTAAATTTGCTGATGACACTAAAATAGGACGTGTAATTAAATCTGACGAGGACTCCGCATAACAGGAAGATCTAAACAAATTTTTCGAATGGTCTGAAAAATGGCAGATGAAATTCAACGTGGACAAATGTAAAGTACTCAGTATAGGAGATGTTAATAGGGAAACCAGATACCAGATGAACAACGATGCCATAGAGAAATCCGGCTGCGAGAGAGATTTAGGAGTAATGATAAGTAGGAACCTTAAGCCAAGTAAACAATGTGTTTTTGCTCGTAACAAGGCTAATAAGGTACTTGGGTTCATACAAAGGAGTGTTAGTTACAAGACTAGCGAGGTCATCCTAAAACTGTATCTTGCTCTTGTGAGATCACACCTGGATTATGCAGTTCAGTTCTGGTCACTGTATTACAGAATGGATATAGAATCATTGGAAAGAATTCAGAGGAGAATGACAAGACTAATCCCGGGCATTAGGAACCTTGAGTATAGAGACAGGTTAAAGCACCTTAATTTGCACTCCCTCGAGAGACGTAGAGCGAGGTGCGACCTGATAGAGGTGTATAAGTGCAAAGGCAGAGCTAAACAAAGGGGACATTACAAATGTACTCAAACTATCCAACCAGGAGCGAACTCGTAACAATGGTTTTAAATTAGACAAATTTAGATTTAGGCATGAAATAGGTAAACACTGGTTTGGAAACAGAGTTGTGGATGAATGGAACAAGTTGCCAAATATCATCATTAACTCGAATATGCTGAATAGCTTCAAACATAGGTTGGATGCTTATATGAGCAATAGGGGTTGGGTGTAAACGGGACTGCCCAGTATGGGCCAATAGGCCCGCTGCAGTTTCCTCCATTCTTATATTCTTATGTTCTTCTTCTTATTATTATTATTATTATTATTTTATTATTATTATTATTATTATTATTATTATTATTATTATTATTATTATTATTATTATTATTATTATTATTATTATTATTATTGTTATTATTATTATGTTATTATTATTATTATTATTATTATTATTATTATTATTATTATTATTTATATTATTATTATTATTATTATTATTATTATATATTATTATTATATATATATATATATATATATATATATATATATATATATATATATATATATATATATATATATATATATATATAATATAACACCTTGAATTATGACCACTACCAGTACTACTACTCCTACTACTACTATTTTTTTTTTTTTTATATAGTGGCCTCCAGCCTCCCCCAATGGCCACGCCTTTGCCACCGTTTAATTACCTTAATAGTAAATATCCTAATACATAAGTAGCTATCCTATCTGTGTTAAATTAGTTGAGCCGCAGATCTATGGGGCATTCAGTGACAGTAGCCTCATAGTCAAATCTGCAGCAGTTGTCGGAGTTGGGGCAGAAGCTCTCGTTCCCCTGGGGCAGAGTAAAGCCGACCAAAGGAGAGAGAAAGACAGTCGACATCTCATCCAGGCTGTAACATAACTTCTGTGCTGCTGCTTCTGTTCGGAGATCACCTCCGCGAGTCTGGCGTAGAAACATCTTGCACTTGGTCCCATCCCACCAGAGTTTGTGAACACTAGAGGAGTGAAGCTGCCTTGATCAACGTTTTGAATTCTCTCCCCATATGCCCTTCTCCTGTCGCTCTCGTAATAATAATTAATAATAATAATAATGATAATGATAATAATAATAATAATAATAATAATAATAATAATAATAATAATAATAATAATAATAATAATAATAATAATAATAATAATAATAATAATTTATAATAATAATAATAATAATAATAATTATAATAATAATAAACGTAAAATTTTGGAGCATATCGACCCCACCTGCAAGGATGGTTGTTTTAGCTACTTACATACTCAAAGCGTTCACAGACAAACAGACGCACAAGGTATAGTCAGCCTGTTATGTAGAGGATAGTTTTAAGTTTTGCTGTTGAACCTTTACCATATTGTCATGGTTTTTCTATGTAATGGTCTAAAGTGTATGGTGTGGATTATATTATATAAAGATTATAATATATTGTGTTTCTTATATTTCTTACCGTAGAGTTCGATACCTTCACACTGTTTACTTACAGGAGATTATGGTGTATCTACGTGGAAATTCACTCCACCACCAGACATTCCATTATTTATGCTTGATAAATGATGATTTAATGAGTTCCATTAATTTTCAACATCCATCTAAGTTATTGGTTATACTTTGTCATAACCAATCAGTCATTACCGTTAGTAATAATAAGATAGGACTACAGATGCGGGCAGATAATTGCACTTACATTTATTTGTCAAGCTTCCATACAATGATTTACAATTTGCATGGATATATGAGTCACTCACATTCACGCTGTAATAAAATTAATCTTCTAAAAGAGGGAATTTTCAACTTGGGAACACATGTGATTACTCTACTATGGGTATGACTTAACAGAGCCTTAATTATTCAGGTGATACATTTACTGCCAGCCTGGATTGCTCTTGTTGCAACCAGGCTTCCGCACAAGAACTTCTTTCCACGGGGAATAACAACAAAAAGGTACTCTTGGGTTACCACACATAGTCTCGCGTCACTGACAGTCACTGTAGACGGTTGTCGAGGCAAGGAGAACTGGTAAGCGTGACTTGATTAACCACTTAGGTGCAATAGGCCAGTCTGGATTGCTTTTGTCGCAACCAAGCTTTCACACGTGATTTTTCCACGGGGAATACAAACCTAGGTTAACACACTTAGTCTCGTGTCACTGATGGTCACAGGATGGGGTGGCGGTTGAGGACTCTGTGTGGTGTCCCGTTCCCTTCAGGAGGGAGAAGGTGGACGGTTTAACTCACCCATGGCCTAAGATATACTACTTAAAATGTGGTTTTGGGGCGTGAGGCGATGAACAGTACAACACTGTCTCACTGGCCTCCCCTTATAGGCTGGCTAATATACCACTAATGGAAAAAATATGTCGTAGTCATGGCTCGCTGGGTGCCTTATCTCTAGTAAAACAAACTTTGGGGTTGGTTGAGTGGGTAAGCCTAACGCAACCCATGACACATAAACAACGAAGAGAGAGACTATAAGCATGTCTATTTTTTTTTCGGGGGGGGGGGATATTAAAGAAATTACATGACAAAGTAGCAGCCATCGCTGCGGTAGTGGGGAGCCATCGTACCACCTCCAGGGTGTATATAATGAGAAGTATTTTATTAACTCAGTCTCATTATGCAGAAAACAACATTAGTGGTCAGTTAAGGCAGGATGGGTGGACGCTGGACAGGTTAATGCAGCTTTTGTGTCATATGATGGGAAACTAACGATGCACTGAAATCAATATAATTTTATTGTCAATATTTTTATTAGCTGTAAAAGTTTTGTTAGTACCGTAATGTAGCCCTTTTCAGCAACAGAGAGAGCGAACGTTCGCCGGGATTTGTAGCACCCATAAGCGTGTCACTCCAGGTATTTTTAATTGCTCGTGCTGGTGTTACTTTGCCTGGTATGACCTTAACATCATACTGTGACAGTTTACTGAGATTTCTTCTCCTGGTCCAGGTTTCTGCCGAGGTATCAACGAGTGATCAAGTTTATCACAGAGAACCAGAGTAAGACCCACCAGGAGTACCAGAAGATTATTGATCTCCACGAAGAGGCAAGTTTAGTCACTTCCTGCGACGACCCAGTGGACGGTGGGGCGGAGGAGAACGTTACTGAGACAACGGTTGGAGGACACGAGGCTAACACACACCAGCTTACAGAAGGTGACGGAGGAACAGCGTCGTCACCACAGCTCCCACAGCACATTATTGGCGCCTACGTCAAGGTAGGTACACAGCAATACCTTCACACACATGTAATGCTCAGTGAAAGTAAATTCCAAGATACTGGCGGTCAGTTAGGAGAAGTGCATATACAGCACACTGTACGCTATAGCCTTCTATACACAATAGCACCTTCACTTCACCAATCTTAAATAGCGGCACTGTACTTATTCACAACTGGAGGTTTCCCGGGCACAAACCTTAGTTAGGATAGGAGACGAGTTTTGTATCCACCCGTCCACGGTACCTCTTTGACAATCCCAAACTACATACTTAACAGACAGTAAAGACTTTAATGTATGTGCAATTGAAATTTTGTTATAGATCATTCCTGATAAATTCCTGGTGTCCGTAAATGATTGTTTTAATAAATGGTGTAATTATTCGACTGTTTATTTATATTATCGTATCCGTCTATAACTCACTCTTTAGTTTGTGTACAGAAATAACGATACCCAAGATAGTTGACGGCTCCGATCAAAGTAATGTTTTCTGAATTTTTAAAGACAATACAATTTTGTTAATGTTGTGCTTTTCATTTTTACGTTTCAACAACTAAAGTCTTCACGGAAGGAAAACTAAATCAATACAGACACACGAAAACAGTTACTAAAAAATTAAGTAACATGTCTTAACTTGTGTATGGAAGAAGTGCTGATATGATCCACAAGAAAAACGATGAAGGTTAAAACATACAAAAAGGCAGGCAGAGAAGTCCACTGAAACAAAATATGATGATAAAAGGTGAGAGAAGTGGAGGAGGAGGAGGGAGGAGGAGGGGGAGGAGGAGGAGGAGGAGGACGACGACGACAAATAAATAGAGGAGGAGAACGACGACGAGGTAGAGAAGGAGGACAAGGAGGACTAGGTGGAGGAGGAGGAGGACAACGATTAGGTGGAGGAGGACGACGACGACGAAGTGGAGGAAGAGGACGAGGTGGAGGATAAGGGCAAGGAGGACGAGAAGGACGAGAAGGACGGATGGGAGGAGGAGGAGGGAGGAGGAGGAGGAGGAGGAGGAGGGAGGAGGAGGAGGAGGCTGTTCCTCCGTTTGGAAAGTGGATCTACCAGAAAACAATAACATTACGTAGTATCTTGTGGAGACATAATTTTCTTAAAAATAAATAACATATATGAAATCACCTGAGGATTAGTCACTCGGTTTACCTCAAAATATTGACCATCCCAACGTTAATCTAACCTAAGCTAAACTAACCTCACCAGTTAGCGTTAGAGTGGTTCAACATCAGGTGAAATAAGCAACATATTCATCGTTTCTCACACTTGACTTGTTTATTTTTTTCCATTTCTGTATTTATTTTTGGTTCAAATTTTTTTCGCCCCCAGGCCCCGGTGTGGGTCGGTGACCGGTGCCTGGGTGGGCTAATCCCCGTAAAAAAGTTGGATTGGCTAATCTTCGGGTGTTCCTAAATATGAAAGCAAGGAGTAGTAACTATGTAAAATAAATCCATGTATTTTGTAGATTTTGTATCCAAATTGAAATATATTGTAAGATAAACGGAGAGTGTAAAGTATGGCAAGTCTAGGAAATTAGTTGCAAAAGAGAAGCAGTTTGATTACGGTTGAAGACGAGAAATGACAACAATGTCTTGTTTGCGGAAAAGATGTGATGTTTGATACATGGCGGGAGGCACTACGTGTTGCAGGGTCAGTGTGTGTGTGTGTGTGTGTGTGTGACACTTAGTGACGTCAGTGGTGGGAGTGGCAGAGATACCTGTGTATAAAGAGTTCAGTGAACGAATAATGTCTTGGTAGACTTTATAATTATTGTTGTTTTGGTTTTATTATTATTATTATCATTATTATTATTATTATTATTATTATTATTATTATTATTATTATTATTATTATTATTATTATTATTATTATTATTATTATTATTATTATTATTATTATTATTATTATTATTATTATTATTATTATTATTATTATTATTATTATTATTATTATTTGTGTTATTGCTTTTTTCTGCAACTTGTCCTCACTACATGACGGCATAAAAGTGTTGTAAGTGTATAGTGTGTCGTTTGTGTTCTATGGTGTGCATGTGAGGGACCCGCCCGTCTTGCCACACCATGTAAACAAACACCACGTGGTTAGGTGACAATAATGTAACGCCTCTGTATACA